ATAATTCATAGATCAAGTTCCTCTTCTCCCCACTTGGTCCTAAGTAGTATGTTTTTACTGTTGTTAAGTCATGAGATAGTTAAGAAAATGACAGAGCATAAATTTTTTTGAAACCTGAAATTACTAATTTTTTTGCAATATGTAAAATTTGCACATGTAATTAGATTACAGAATTTATTCATCATTGGAATAAAATAGATAAAATTTAAAATCTAGCTTAGGTTTTACTTTAAATGTTACAAAAATTATCAATAACAAAGGAATGGAGTGGCAGGACTTAAAAAATTAAGTTAAAGTCTGCTATATCTGTTTTTCAAAAGGTGATTCTGCTGTAGTGCATTGTTACTTACACCTTTTCTGTAAAACAATTATTTAAAAGCTCACACTGGAATCCTTGTTGTGTGGTTTGTTTTTGTTCTGTTTTATTTGGCGAAGAGCTGTTTATTGGCAGATGTTTCCCTGTATTATACCACCACAGCTTGCCTTATAAAAAGCAGCCTTATTTTCCAAAGGAAAAATGTTCAGCTTAAAGGGTCCTGAATCAGTATCAAATGAGTCATAGATTCATAGAATTTTCAAGCCAGAGAGATCATCTACTGTATTTCATAAAATCAGATGTACTTCCGTTTATGAGCTTTTAAAATGTGTAGGGGCATGGGAGAATGTATGTCTCCTAATGGAGGAAGTATGGTGGTTTAATTCCATCAGTTTAAAGACTCTGGAAATGGAGATTCAGGAAAACTAAGTTTCTTGCCTTAAGTCCAGATCCTCTGATTTCAGTTAAAATCTCTTGATTAAACTATACTTCACCAAAGTGCTATTAAGTCAACAGTGTAATAAGTATTTTTAATCATTTGAAATATCACTCTGAGTATTGTGTAAAATGGGCAAACGAAGTGCTCATCATATTATACAAGGAGCCTCTTTTCTATTTTATATATATATATGCAGCAAAAAAATTACATATCAGATTTGACCCCAAACTAATATTATGTATAATGAAGATTATTAAACGTTTATTTTTATATTTCACACCTTTAATTTGGAACAATTTTGGTGAAATTATTTGAATGTCACAATGTTAAAACATGCCTTCTTTGTATTTTCTGTAACATTTTCCTGTAGCAAGCAGAATTCAGAATTGTTTCATTGATTATACAGGTGGCATTTCAAAACTCATGTGTAATTCCTTTATTTTGTGATTGGTGAGGCTGTAGTAAGAGTGAATAAAAGCACCAGAAAAGAAATGAAGATCAATTGGAATAAGTAGAGACTCCCTGGATATACAGAAGTGTTTTATAGAACTAGAATACATTTTAGATCTTTTTTCCTAGAACATAAGTAGTTGTATTAGCAAGTATGACCACTTAGGATAAGCTTGGCTTGTTATTCTTTATTCCTTTATGTACTAAAACTTTCTTTGGTGTTCTAACTAGATTAAATGTAATGTAGCAGTCAGTACTTTTTCTAAAGAAATTAAAATTATTCATTATTTTAAAAGTCTCTAGAGTAGTTGATATTCTGAGTCCTACTGGTTAGTCACCATATCAGGGTGGTAGTTTTATGATGTTCTTCCATTCAAAATTGAAGTTTGAAGTATTATATTTAGTTTTGATTTTTTAAAGTTAATGTGGTATTATTTTAACTCAACAGTGTGATGCCATTAGTGTATTGGAGAAAGAACATGACTACAGAGATGAACATTTTGATTTTATTCAGTCACATATCCGGAAGTTTTGTTTACAGTGTATCCTTTTAATATATTTATTGATGCAGTGTGCCTTGACTGATGGGCTTATTCTGTAAACATTTTTCCTTCTGCCTCTGGTTGGAAATTCTATTTCAATTCCCAAATCATTTGTATCTGGATATTTTGAGATAAAAAGCAAGTACTGAAATACATAACATTGATTTGCTGTGTTTAAGTAGTATGCTTAAGGAAAATAATTATTGATTGTGGAAAATTCTAATGGGTTGGCTTGAATATATCTGATTAATAAACGGTATTCATATATTGGTGGTAAGTGGTAGGGCAAGGTAAACCTTAGTGTTGTGTATTTTCATTTTTGATTTGTTTAGTATGTTATCGTCTTCTCCGTGTGTAGCCTAACACAGTGGTTTCAGAATCTGGCTGTGCCTGTCTTATACCGATTGGATTGGAATATTCCAAGGTGAGGCTGCAGAATCTGTACTTTAAAAAGCTTACATGGGTTATTTTGATGATTACAAGGTTGGAAAACCTTCTTGTCTAATCTGGATTGTAAGGATTAGGTGAGACAATGAATAATATGTATATCTAAAAGAGGGAGAAAATGAAGATTGGAAGTGAATGCTTTTAAAAGAATTTACAGTTGAAAACTTAGTCACACTTAAAGTACACCCGCCTTCTTGGATCAAATATTTTGCAATTACATTTTCCATACAAAGTTTTTGAGTCTGCAAAGTAATGAAATGATACTAGGAATAGATAGTAGTAAGTAATACACACATGTTTTTAGTGTCTGCCATTTACAAATCATTCTCACTAATGGGCATTTAGTTTAAAGACCCACTTACAGGAACCCTGGCTGAATAAGATTATTGGTAATTTCCCTTTCCCCCGGTTCCCTTTAGTTCTTTCTCTTCTTTATGGGCCTTTCTCTCCTCGTGTACCTAAGCTAAGGGTTGAGTTAAAGAGCACTTGTCTACATAGTGTCTTTAAAAAGAAAACAAAACTGTTACAGCTCTTTTAGAATTTGTCTAGCAAGTTTTCTAGTCCTCACTGGAAAATCTCCCCCCAAAAAGAAAAAGAAAACAAAAAGTGTTTTCAGCTGAAGTAGTTGTCTATAGTCTTTTTTATTATCTTTGAAGATTAGAAAATTTAAGAACAGTTTCTTTAAACATTTATTTAATGCTGTACTTAAATGCAAATATAGAGATGTAATCAGGAAGGAAGCTGTCCACTAAAATGCAGACCTTTATAGCCAGTTTATTTTATTTTATTTTATTTATTTATTTTTTTGA